GTATTTTGTAAATACTGTATACCATATATTATGTATATATTATTCATACTTGAGAAGTACATTATAGTTCTGTTATGAAAGTATGTATTTTGCCCTGCCCACATGGCAGGTCATTGTGTATATATATGCACATATATAATATTATATGTTATAATATATATTTTCTATAGATAATGGAAAAATTTTAAGGGTGCTAAAGCACATGGAAGACCAGTTTATTTGCCCAAGGTACTGAGAGTTTACCAAGAAGCAGCTGTCAGAGCTCAAGGTGAAGATCTAAACGTGAATAGTTTACCAATGCACTACTGAAGATTAAGTCTGTGGCACAATCATTGTAAACAATGGAGTCTGTCTTTATTTAAATTGATTTCTACCTTCCAATCTATAATTACTGGAAAAACTCCTCTCCCTATTTCTACCAAATTTAATTTCTTGTTTTTGGTACATATGCATTATTCAAATTTAAGATGCCTCTAATTTTAATGCCAACAAAATTGGTTATAATTAAAATTTTTTTTTATTTTTTGACAGGCAGAGTGGACAGTGAGAGAGAGAGACAGAGAGAAAGGTCTTCCTTTGCCGTTGGTTCACCCTCCAATGGCCGCCACGGCCAGCGTGCTGCGGCTGGCGCACCGCGCTGATCTGATGGCAGGAGCCAGGTACTTATCCTGGTCTCCCATGGGGTGCAGAGGCCAAGCACTTGGGCCATCCTCCACTGCACTCCCTGGCCACAGCAGAGAGCTGGCCTGGAAGAGGGGCAACCGGGACAGAATCCGGCGCCCCGACCGGGACTAGAACCCGGTGTGCCGGCGCCGCAAGGCGGAGGATTAGCCTAGTGAGCCACGGCGCTGGCCATATAATTAAATTTTAAAGTAATAATAATTTGCCTTTCCCCCTTTAAACTAGTCTTGACTTTTTGTGTCTGACTGTTCTGTGTGTGACCATGAGATGATTTTGCACGACTGCATTTTTAACTTCCCATTTGATGGCTCTGTCTTTGATCTTGTACTAATGATCCTTCCTCTACAAAATTTAGAGCAACAATTTAATATTTCTACATCTCCGAGGAGGAATTGCCCATCTCACAAGTGGAAATGGTAGGCCGGCGCCGTGGCTCACTAGGCTAATCCTCCGCCTAGCGGCGCCGGCACACCGGGTTCTAGTCCCGGTCGGGGCGCCGGATTCTGTCTCAGTTGCCCCTCTTCCAGGCCAGCTCTCTGCTGTGGCCAGGGAGTGCAGTGGAGGATGGCCCAAGTGCTTGGGCCCTGCACCCCATGGGAGACCAGGAGAAGCACCTGGCTCCTGCCATCGGATCAGTGCGGTGCGCTGGCCGCAGCGCGCCAGCCATGGCGGCCATTGGAGGGTGAACCAACGGCAAAGGAAGACCTTTCTCTCTCTCTCTCTCTCTCTCTCTCTCTCACTGTCCACTCTGCCTGTCAAAAAAAAAAAAAAAAAAACAAGTGGAAATGGTAGTGTAAAGAAAAACTGGTTAGTTTATGACTGAGTATATTTTTGTTTTTTTTTTTTGTTTTTTTGTTTTTTTGTTTTTTTTTTTTTTTTTGACAGGCAGAGTGGACAGTGAGAGAGAGAGACAGAGAGAAAGGTCTTCCTTTGCCGTTGGTTCACCCTCCAATGGCCGCCGCGGCTGGCGCGCTGCGGCCGGCGCACCGCGCTGACCCGATGGCAGGAGCCAGGAGCCAGGTGCTTTTCCTGGTCTCCCATGGGGTGCAGGGCCCAAGCACCTGGGCCATCCTCCACTGCACTCCCTGGCCACAGCAGAGGGCTGGCCTGGAAGAGGGGCAACCGGGACAGAATCCGGCGCCCCGACTGGGACTAGAACCCGGTGTGCCGGCGCCGCTAGGCGGAGGATTAGCCTAGTGAGCCGCGGCGCCGGCCCGACTGAGTATATTTTTATATGTAAACTTTTTCATGAAGTATTATTTGAATTAATAATTCATGCAGTTTTCAGTAGAAGGCAATGATACCTACTTTGTTTTATTACATTAATCTTGAATGGTGGTACTTACACTAAAAAAAGTATAGCTGATGCCGAAACAGTGGGTGGAGATTTTAGAGGCTTGCTTGAAGATCAGCATGGCAGTTCAAACTTCATTCTCAGTATGTTTCCAACTCAGAAATTCTAAAATATACTTTCTATAAGGTTTCACTTATGCAAACCAAAAGTTTGTCTCAAAGGGGAAAACCTTTCTGAGTAATTGGGCAATATTTAGATATTAAAAGAAAAATAATTCTTAAATGGGTACATACTTGCACATGATTCTTCAGGTCAAATTCATGAGAAAGGTGCTACTGGAGGTATTTTAGGTCTTAACTGGCTCCCACAAGGAGAGTGAAGACTTTTAACTTTTTGTGTGGTAGGCAGTATGGGCAGAAAGTTAGAATTGCTATTTACTTGATGAGCAGTGCCAAGAGGGTAGGATGACTTACATTATGTAGATGTACCACAAATTTGTGTAAGCAATGCATGCTATCTTGTATTCATAGCTCAAGCCTGAAAACCAGTTCTTTGTCCCTGGGTATAACATGCTTGTTCTTATAGAGAGAAATTAAGCTGTACTTTAATATTATATATTAAATGATTAAGAGGTTATATTCCAATATGACAGTATCCACATCCAAGAATGCCTTACTTGTAGGAGTCATGCTGCTTTCAAGTGTGCACATGGTGATTCTTTTGTGCAGACTTCAGAGGAGGTCCCAGCACCTGGGCAGCATGAGTCTCCTCTGCCCAGCAGCCTTCCCAGAGTAAAAGGCCACCCAGACCATCCTGCTGCTGGTGAGTGCCTTTGTGGTCACCTACCACCTTAACCTCATCATCCTGTCTATCTCAGTCCATGTGTGGTGGACATACAACAAAGTCTGAGTATCTGGAAGTTAGTATTTAATGCTTGTGCTACAGTTAGTCCTGTGGTGCTGCTCAGTTCTGATAAAAGAATAATCAGTATTCTGAAAAGCACACAATGTAAGAGCCATTAATGTTTACTAATATTGTGATGGGATATTTTTCTTGAAAATATGTTCTAATGCAGTTAAATTATTCAGTAGCATAAGATTTTTTTTTATTTCTGTAAGAGGAACATTTCATTATTTCATATGTACAGTTTTAAGAGTAAAATGATACTTTATCAGATTAAAATAAAGTGCAATTATTTGATAATTCTTTACTTCAATGTAAATCATAGTTTGATGCATATCATGTATCATCTTATTTCATTTTCTTTACTGTAGAAAAACATTTATTCTTGACATGTAGGTTTAGAAAGCTCCTGTTGGTAATCAAATCTCTGTGTTTATTTTTGATTATGTTTTATTCATCTTGGTCCATTAACTAGATTTTACCTAAGGATCCAACTCTAGCTCAGATAATTGCTTTTGGCATGATTGATTTTATGTCTGTTTTACAGCACCATACCAGTTGTTAAAAGGACTATTTTAGTCACCTCTGTGAATGATCTCTGTTTTCCTCTTACTGTTTCTAATTTTTTTCTCCCCTGATGTTATGAAGTCTGATTATGTATACTTTTGTGTCTTTTTGACACACTGCATTTGTAAGCATAGAGTCTTTTAAATCATCCAGGTTTGATAATTGCCTTTGTGTGTTTTTCTTTTTTTTCCAATATTTATCACATAATATTCTTTTTTTATTTTTTATTTAATGAGCATAAATTTCCAAAGTACAGCTTAAGGATCACAATAGCCTCCTCCCCACCGTATCTTCCCTCCCACCCACAACGCTCCCCTCTCCCACTCCCTCTACCCTTCCCCTTCACATCATGATTAATTTTCAATTATCTTTATATACAGAAGATCAATTTAGCGTATGTTAAGTAAAGATTTCCACATTTTGCTCCCACACAGAAACACAAAGTGTAAAATACTATTTGAGTACTAGTTATAGCATTAATTAAGCACCTAAGAGTGATTGTGTATTAATTACAGAGTTCAACCAATAGTTTTAAGTAGAATATAAAATGCATCTTTTGTATTGTTGAGGCTTCCCCCCTGACCTCCCTCCCTCCCGTGGCCCTCCCCTCTCCCACTCCCTCTCCCATCCCGCCCTTCATCACATTTCATTTTCAATTACCTTCATATGTTGAAGATCAACTTAGTATATACTAAGCAGGGATTTCAACAGGTTGCACTCACACAACCGAACCAGGTATAGGGTATTGTTCGACTAGTAGTGTTGTGTTTGAGTTTCATAGTTAAACATATTAAGGACAGAGATCCTGTGTGGGGAGCATGAACCCAGTGACTCCCGTTGTTGATTTAACAATTGGCACTCTTATTTATGATGTCAGCAATCACCCGAGACTCTTGCTATGAGCTGTCTAGGCTATGGAAGCCCCTTGAGTTCAGCAACTCTGAATTTGTTTAGTCAAGGCCATATCACAGTGGAGGTTCCTTCCTCCCTTCAGAGAAAGGCGCCTCTCTCCTTGATGGCCTGATCCTTCTGCTGGGGTGTTGTTCACCAGGATCCTTCATTTAGATTGTTTTTTGCCACCATGTCATGGCTTTCCATGCCCTCACCATGACTGCAGGGGCTGGGGACCCAGGCAGGGGGCTGGGTCATGTCTGCCCAGGGCGGATCCCTCGTTATGCCTGGGGTTCCTCGCCATGCTTGTAGGTGCTGGGTCCTGGACACGGGGCGGGTTCCATATGGGGTGCCCAGGGAGGGCTCTCACAGGGCCTGCAGGGGCTGTGGATCCCGGCGGGGTTGCGTCTGGGGTGTGGGGCCCAAGCTGTGACTTAGGGGCTAGGGACTTGGGTGGGCGGGGCGGGGTCCCATCTGGGGTGCCCAAGGAGGGCTCTTTCTGTGCCTGCACAGGCTGGGAATCTGGGTGGGAGGCGTGGTCATGTCTGGAATGCCCTGGGCGCATCCCTCGCTGTGCCTGAGGGTCCCTCACCATGCCTGTAGGGCCTGGGGACCTGGGTAAGAAGCGGGATCCCGTCTAGGGTGGCCAGGGCGGTATTCTCACCATTCTTTCAGGGGCTTGGCACCCGGGTGGTGGGGAGGTAGTGTCTGGGGTGACCAGTACTGGGCCTTCAGCCTGCCTGTAGGGGTCAGGACCCGCATAGGAGGTGGGGTCCCATCTGTCCTGGCCAAGGTAGGGCTGTCGCCATTCCTGCAGGGGCTTGGCACTCGGGCGGAGGAGGTAGCGAGTGTCTGGGGGGCCCAGGGAGGGGCTCTCGCATGCCTGCAGGGGCTGGAGATCCGGGCGGGGGGGAAATAGCCTCTGGAATGCCCAGGGTGGGGCCCTTGCTATACCTGAGAGTCCTGGCCAAGCCTGTAGGGACTGGGGTCCTGGGAACGGGGCGGGGTTGCGTCTGGGTGCCCACGGTGGGGCCTTCGCCCTGCCTGCAGGTGTGGGGACCCGGGTAGGAGGCGGGGTCCCTTCAGGGGTGGCCAGGGCGGGGTCTCTGCATTCCTGCAGCGACTTGGGACCCAGGCCAGTGGTGGTCGAGTCTGGGGTACTCGGGACGGGTTTTGCCTTGCCTGCAGGGTGGGGGATCCGTACGGGGGACGTGGTTGCGTGTGAGGTGCCCAGGGCGGGGCTATCACAGTGCCTGAGCATCCCTTGCTGTGCCTATAGGGGCTGGGACCCCGGGGGGGTGCGTGGTCACATCTTGGGTGCCCAGGTGGGGACCCAGCTGCTCCCGCCCTTGCTTTACCCGTGGGGCCCTCGCCCTGCCTCCTGCAGCGGTGGCCCGGGCAGGTGGAAGGGTCACCTCCGGGGTGCCCAGGGCGGGGCTCTCCCTGTACCTGTATTGGCTGGAATTAGATCAGGGGCGTGGTCGGATCTGGGGTGCTTCAGGGTAGGGCCCTTGCTACAACTGCCCTCACTGTGCCTGTAGAGCCCTCCGACTGCCTGCAGGGGTGGAGAACGGGGTAGGGTGTGGGTCACCACTGGGGTGCCCAGAGCGGGAATTATGCTGTGCCTGCAGGGGCAGGGATGCGGGTAGGGGGCGTGATCGCATCTGGTTGCATCTGGGTTGCTCAGGACGGGGCCCTCGCTGTGGCTGCAGGCCCTCCTGTGCTGCAAAGGCTGTAGCTCCGGGAGGGGGACACGGCCTCGTCTGGGGTGCCAGCAGGGGCTTGTGAACCAGGCAGGTGGTGGGGTCCCAACTGTGGTGCCCACTGCAGGGCACTTACAGTGCTTGCAAGGCGTGGAGCCCCAGGCGCGGGGGAGCCGGGTTGCATCTGGGGTGCCCAGGTGGGGTTCTCGCCCTGCCTGCAGCAGCTGGGGACCCGGGCAAGGGACAGGGTCGCATCTAGGGTGCCCGGGGCAGGGCCCTCGCTTTGCCTCAGGGACTGGGGCGGGGTCGTGTCTTGGATTCCCAAGGTGGGTCCCTCCCTGTGCCTTAGGGCCTGGGGACCCGGGCGGACGGGGCGGGGTCCCGTCTGGGGTGCCCAGGGCAGGCCTCTCAGTCAACATGCTGGTGCTTGGGACGCAGGTGTGTGCTGGGGCCGAGTGTAGGGTGAACAACGCGGTGCTCTCGCTGTGCCTGCAGGGGCTGGAGATCCGGACTGGGGGTAGGTATCATCTGGGGTCCCAGGGCCGGGACTCTACTGCGCCCGCTCTTGCTTTGCCTGCGGGGCCCTCGCCCTGCCTGCAGGTGTGGGGGCCCGGGCAGGGGGCGGGGTCACGTCTGGGGTGCCCAGGGCAGGCCTCTTGGGCCAGTGTGCTAGGGCTTGGGACCCAGGTGGGTGCTGGGGCCGAGTGTAGGGTGCCCAGGGCGGGGCTCTCACAGTGCCTGCAGGGGCTGGGGATCCGGGAGGTGGGCGTGGTCGCATCTGAGGTGCCCAGGGCGGGGCCCTGGCTGTGCCTCAGGGGCTGGGGACCTGGGCGGGCGGGCAGGGCGGGGTCACATCTTGGGTGCCCAGGGCCGGGACCCCACTGTGCCCGCCCTCGCTGTGCCTGCGGGGCCCTCGCCCTGCCTACAGCAGTGGGGGCCCAAGCAGGGGGCGGGGTCACGTCTGGGTAGCCCAGGGCAGGCCTCTAGGCCAGCATGCTGGGGCTTGGGATCCAGGTGGGTGCTGGGGCCGAGTTTAGCGTGTCCAGGGCGGGGCTCTTTCCATGCCTGCAGGGGTTTGTGCTCGGGCGGGGGTGGGTCGCCTCTGGGGTGCCTGCAGGTCCTGGGGCCCCGGGTGGGGGAGAGCGGTGCAGCGCCTGGGATGCCCAGGGCGTGGCTATTGGCACGCCTGCCCTCCCTGTACCCGCGGGGTCCTCAGAGTTCCTGCAGGGGCTCTGGACCTAGGCGGGGTGGGGTCGCCTTTGGGGTGCCCAGAACAGGGCCCTCGCCGAGCCTGTAGTGCTGGGAACCCGGGCTGGGGGCGGGGTCCCGTCTGGGGTGCCCAGGGAGGGCTCTCATCTTGCCTGCCGGGGTTGGGGATCCGGGCGGGAGGAGGAGGCGACTTGGGTCCCCATGTGCCGCAGGGGCTGGGGACCCGGGCAGACAGGGCGGGGTCCCGTCTGGGGTGCCCAGGGAGGGCTCTCACTGTGCCTGCAGGGGCTGGGGACCCGGGCGGGTGGGGCGGGGTCCCGTCTGGGGTGCCCAGGGCAGGAGTCTCGCTGTGTCTGCAGGGACTTGGGATCCGGGCGGGGTCGTGTCTTGGGTGGCCAGGGCGGGGCTCTCGCCTGGTCTGCAGGGGTTTGGGACCCAGGCGGGGGTGTGTTGTTCCTGGGGTGCCCAGGGCGGAGCTCTCCCCATGCCTGCAGGGACTGGGATCTGGGCGGGGGGCGTGGTCGCGTCTGGCATTCCCGGGGAGGGCCCTTGCTGTGCCTGAGGGTCCTCGCCATGCCTGTAGGGGCTAGGGTCCTGGGCAGGGGGCGGGGTTGTGTCTGGGTGCCTAGAGCGGGGCCTTCGCCCTGCCTGCAGGTGTGGGGACGCAGGTAGGAGGCGGGGTCCCTTCAGGGGTGGCCAGGGCGGGGCTCTCGCCATTCCTGCAGGGACTTGGGACCCAGGTGAGTGGTGGTCGAGTCTGGGGTGCTCAGGACGGGTTTCGCCTTGCCTGCAGGGGTGGGGGATCCGGGCGGGATACATGGTCGCGTGTGAGGTGCCTAGGGCGGGGCCCTCCCCGTGCCTGAGCGTCCCTTGCTGTACCTGCCGGGCCGGGGGCGGGTTTGCGTCCGGGGTGCCCAGGGCGGGTCCCTCGCCATGCTTGCAGGGGCTTTTGACCCGGGAGGTAGGTGGGCCCTTGCTGCAACTGCCCTCACTGTGCCTGCGGAGCCCTCCCAGGATACCCGGGTAGGGTGCGGGTCGCCTCTGGGTTGCCCAGAGCGGGAATCTCCCGGTGCCTGCAGGGGCTGGGATGCGGGTGGGGAGCGTGGTTGCATCTGGGTTGCCCAGGGCGGGGCCCTCGCTGTGGCTGCGGGCCTTCGCTGTGCTGCAGGGGCTGGGGCCCCCGGCGGGGGCATGGCTTCATCTGGGATGCCAGCAGGGGCTTGGGACCCGGACAGGTGGCGGGGTCCCCACTGTGGTGGCCATTGCAGGGCACTTAGAGGGCTTGCAAGGCCTGGGGCCCCAGGCGCGGGGGAGCCGGGTTGCATCTGGGGTGCCCAGGGTGGGGCCCTCGCCCTGCCTGCTGAAGCTGGGGAGCCGGGCAAGGAACAGGGTCACGCCTAGGGTGCCCGGGACAGGGCCCTGGCTTTGACTTAGTTGGGGAGCTGGTAAAGCAGTTGAACCCAACTAACTGAATGTTGATGGTGTAAAATATGGCATAAGGTGGCTGCTGCCATGGCTCACTAGGTTAATCCTCTGCCTTGCGGCGCCGGCACACCGGGTTCTAGTCCCGGTCGGGTCGCTGCATTTTGTCTCAGCTTTCCGCTATGGCCCAGGAGTGTAGTGGAGGATTACCCAAGTCCTTGGGCCCTGCACCCCATGGGAGACCAGGAGAAACACCTGGCTCCTGCCATCGGATCAGCACGGTGTGCCGGCAGCAGCGCACCGGCCGCGGCGGCCATTGGAGGGTGAACCAACTGCAAAGGAAGACCTTTCTCTCTGTGTCTCTCTCTCTCTCTCACTGTCCACTCTGCCTGTCAAAAAAAAAAAATATGGTATAAGGTATTACCTTGATATCTTGCTGGTGAAAAAAGAGAATACATTGTAAAATTCTAGATTTTTGTTTTACACTTAGAAATGAGAAATAATGACAGCTGAGGCAACTGGAAAAGTTTTAATAATGATTGCATTCTTTTTAAATGAAATTCCCTTTAATTGTGTAATCTTAAACCTGAGAGGTGAAGGGAAGCTCTCCTCTGGCCCCAAAGCTGCCTCAGACTTTCCTCTCCACTCCCTGCCTGCCTCACTTCCTTCCCGCTCACACAGGCTCCACAGCGGCCTCGAGGTCTTGCAGCAGGATGTCATAGAAACTGCTTCATACTTGTGGAGAAATAAACACAATTCTGCTGTGAGAATACGACACTCAGGAGGAGGGAGCGTGTGGAGCTCTTTGGAATCACAGTGCTCTGCCTGAGGAATGGGGTGTCTGTCCCTGGCGGTGGGTGAGTGTAGCAAATACCTCTAGACCTCTCCCTAGCAGCCGTTCCTCCTCTCCCTTGTGTGGTTGGCTGGATAGCTGAAGGGGGGGGGACTGCTGCCTCAGTGTCAATGTTGGAGCTGACTGAAAGACCCCATGGCTGAGCACCCGGGGGTGTGTTGATGGCATCATTTGAGGTGTGACCCTGGGACTTGATGGACATTTGGGTGTCATGCAGCCGAGGAGAATGCGCCGATTTCCCTGTGTCTCCTGCTGCCAGAGCCATGAAATCAAGGCTGCTTTGCACCAAGTGCCGGGAGAGCCGTCTTCTCATCCCCATCAGACACAGACGTTTCTGTTGAGGAGAAGCATCTGCTCTTCATGTCAGTTCCGCACCTGGACCAGGCCTCAGCCCTGTTTTCTTCAGGACCTCTCAGGTTGATGGGTGAGGAGACCCGTGGGAGGAGGACTTAGAAGTCCGGAGGCTGAGTGCCTTCTAGTTGTGCACAGAAACACCCTGTACGTGTCTTCCTTAATTGCAGAGTGTTCCTGATGTCATGGGCACGTAGGAACCAGAGAGGAACCTCTGCCCTGGACCTCTCTCTGCTGGATCTCAGCTGCCTCATGTTTCCTGGTGCTGTTTTTTTTTTTTTCTTTAAGAGTTTATTCAAGTCAGAGGTATCTGCATTTATAGCTTCTTCCTGATAATTCTTTCCTCTCCTGATGGAGTTTCATTTCTCCTGTGTTTCAGGAGATGCCTGGGGGGGGTGTGTGTGTCCCCCATTGGATTCTAGTCTGAGGGAGTCTTCCATGGTGAGTCACGTGCTGCTTTGCTCATTAGAAGAATCCTAAGTAAGATGGGAAAAGACTCTTTTTGTTGGAGAGAGAAAATGAAAACCAGCTTTTCTGAGGCCAGAGGGGCTCATGTGGTAATAAATGATGAATTCATCCTTTTTTTCTGCCATCCCTCCCAGTGGCAGTTGATCTCATGACAGCTGTTTCCAGCTGTACTCTGGATTTTGTGCAGGCCCCTTGGGATGGCTGTAGTGACTCACACAGCTGGGCTTTTTCCACAACGGGCTGAACCTGGCTGCTAGAGGAGCAGGGGCTAGAGGCAGGGAAGGTGACTCTGGTGGCTGGAGAAGATTTCCTTGTTGGGATCGCTGTCCCTGCAGGGCCCTCCTGTCCACAGAGATCCTGGGAGATAACGTCTGGGGCAGGGTAGAGAATGTGTTCATAGAGAACGTGTGTTGGAGAAAGCCAAATGTTCTTTTTGTTTCTTTTTTCCCTGGCCCTTTCCTTTTCAGATGGAAGTAGATCTGTGTGTGAAATGGATACATGAGTGAGTGTTGAGGGAGACGTTGGTTAACAGATGGACATTGCAGCCATCCGGCGCAGTGGGATGCCTGCATCCCACACTGGAGTTTCTGGTTTGAGTTCAGGCTCCTCTTCTTCTGACCCAGCTTCCTGTGAATGCGCTCCATGGGTGGCTGACACTCATGCAGAGACCGGGTTTGAGCTTTGGGCTTCTAGCTTTGGCCGAGCACCGCCTTGGCTGAGTCACACCCGGAGCAGAAGAAGCTGACTGAAGTGGGCCTGGGGCATCAGAAGGATGCTGGATGCGGCAGGGTGCAGATGTGTCCCGTGGCGCCATGGCGACGGCCAGTGGGGACTGCGCCTGCGTCCTGCACTTTGACCCGGAAGTGCACACGCATGCATGCATACCCCGACTGCCCGCCAGCGCTCTTGTGGGAGTCAGCACCGCGTCCGCTGCTGCCCAAGAGCCTGCACAAGTTGTGAGGAGCCGTGCTCGACGCTGCTGGCCAAGACTGAGGGAGACCCAGCGGCCCCAAGGTCAGGCCAGGATCAGGAGAGGCTGCATGTCTGAGGCTGCAGCACTATTTCCCAGGCGCGGTTGTCTTCTTCAGCCCCTTCCGGAAGCAACGGCCTTGGCAGACCTCTATGCCGCCAGCAGACCGGGCCCCCTTGGAGGTGAGTGACTCGTGGCTGTTGCGGCTTCCCGCTGGGGTATTGGGTGCCGGCGTGCCTGTTGCTCTTGGTCCCGAAGGCTCAGGTGGAGTCGCAGTTGTGCTGTACAGACGGTCTGGAAGGGTCTCCAGGGTGCGAGCAGCTGTGTGAGAGCAGAGGTGGCTCCATCTCCTCCCGGAACTGCCCCACGTTCCCGTCTGTTTGCTTTTTGAGGGCCCAGCCGCCCTGTTCTAGACCTCTGAGAGTGTTGTTGGGAGGAACGAGAGCGAGAATGTGTGTTTGTGTCCTGGTCTAGGAGGACAGTTTCCGGTTACTCGCGTTTGGTGTGCTGTTAGTACTCTGTGGGTTTTTTATGAAAGACCGTTGTCAGGCCCAGGTGTACCATCTGTTCTTAATTTGATGATTTTATTTTTTTAATACCGCAAAAGTAATGAAGGTTTTGTGAAATAGGTTTTCTGTGTCTATCGGGATACTTTGTGGCTTTTCCCATGTGGATTCTGTTCTGGGATATATTGCTTTGGTATGGTAGCCATCCTTGCATTCCCGGAGTAACTCTCAGTTGCACACAGTGTGCTAAGCTTTGTTTGTGCTCCTGGATGGCATTTGGTAATATTTTATTGAGGCATGTGACACATTCATGATGGATATTTGTGTGCCATTTTCTTTATGATGTGTGCTTGTTTTGGATGTTGGGATAACGCTAGTCTGATGGAATAAAAAGGAAAGTTTTTCCTCTTCATCTCCTTTTTGGAAGGGTGTGCAAAGAACGGATTTTAATTATCCTTTAAATGGGAGTTTTCACCAGTGGAGCCGTCTGTTCCTGGAGTTTTCTTCATGTGTGTTTGTTTCCCACTACTGCAGTCTCTTTTCAAATTATGAGTGTATTTAGGGTTTCTTGTTTTACTGTATTCAGTTTTAGTGGTTTGTGTCTTTCTGAGAATCAGTCCACACTGTATCGACATTGACCAAATCCTTGTGCCTTGGCTTTTCCATAGTGTTTTCTGATGATTATTTTGGTAAGGTAGGTAATAGTGTCTTCTCTGTCGTTTCTGTTGTGAAGTCAGTTGAGTCTGTTCCCTTTTTTCCCTTGTTTCCTGCGGATAAACATTTTGTCCATGTCACTGAGTGTTCAAGAATAGTATTTTGGTCTCACTGAATTTCTGTTGTGATATTTTCTATTCCTTTGGATTTATATCATTTGTATATTTTTCCTCCTTCCACTTTCTTAAGATTTACTTTTATGTTCTAGCGTTTTAAGGTAAAATCCCCACCTTGGGAGACCCAGAAAAATTACTGGCTCCTGGCTTTGGGTTGCCCCAGCTCCAGCCATTGTGTCAATTTTGGGAGGTGTACTAGTGGATCGAAGACCCCCCTCTCTCTCTGCTTCTATATCTCTGCAACTCTGCCTTTCAAAGAAATGCATAAATCTTTTAAAAGAAAAGATTGACAGTAGTTTTATCATTAGAAACAACATATGCTACAAGAGAATGGAGAAACTCTTTGAAGTACTGAAAGATAAAGAGTGTCAGCATAGAATTCTTTGCACAGTGAACGTATGTTTCCAGTGTGAGAGTGAAATAAAGATTCTAGACATAGGATCACAGAAATAATTCATCACCAGCAGATCCACACTACCAGAAATATTAGAAAAAGTCCTTTAGGGAGAAAGACAATGTTACTAAGTGGGTATTTGAATCAACACAAAAGATGAAAACATGAGAATTGAAAGCTACATGGTTAAATGTATACAGATTTTTTTTTGACAGGCAGAGTGGACAGTGAGAGAGAGAGAGAGAGAGAAAGGTCTTCCTTTGCCGTTGGTTCACCCTCCAATGGCCGCCGCGGCCGGCGCGCTGTGGCCGGCGCACCGCGCTGATCCGATGGCAGGAGCCAGGAGCCAGGTGCTTTTCCTGGTCTCCCCTGGGGTGCAGGGCCCAAGCACCTGGGCCATCCTCCACTGCACTCCCTGGCCACAGCAGAGAGCTGGCCTGGAAGAAGGGCAACCGGGACAGAATCCGGCGCCCCGACCGGGACTAGAACCCGGTGTGCTGGCGCTGCTAGGCGGAGGATTAGCCTAGTGAGCCGCGGCGCCGGCCATGTATACAGATTTTTAAACTGTTTAGTCACTTTAAAAGATAAATGAGTTTTTTACAGCAAAAATACTAAACATGTAGCATACAGTTTATAGCTTTTTAAAGTTAAATGTGTGGCAACTGTAGTACAACTGTAGGGAGAGTGAAATGGAAATACACCATTTGGCATGGTGCAATATAACTTGAAGATAAATGTGATAAATTTAAAATATATACAATGAAACCTAAAGAAGTCACTAAAGGTAAATAAATGGGGGTATAATTAACCCGTAAAAGAAATAAAATGGAATCATGGAAAAGAAACTGATCCAAAAGTAGGCAGATAAAGAGGAAAAATAGAACATAGAACAGATAGAAAACACCTAACTAGGAGATTAATTTAAGCTTAGCTATTTCATTAATTACATTAAATGTAAATGGTATAAGGAACTCAATTACAAGGCAGAGAGATTATAACATTGAATCAAAAAACAAGACCCAAGTATAGGCTCCCTAAGTGAAATTCAGTTTGAATATAATAGCTTGAAAATTGAAATATGGAGAAAGAGATACACATTAGTCATCTACAAAACTGGACTACCTACATTAGCAACACAGATCATGGAGTACTTTTAGGATCATGGGATATTTTCAATGATAAAGAAAGTCAATTCATGATGATAAATGCTTTGATCCATCAGTAAGACATCAGTCTAAGTATTTATAGACCTAGTAACACAGCTTCAAGATGCTGAAGCAAAAGTTGATAGAACTGCAAGGTTTATCTGAAAAAAATCCATAACTGGAATGGGAGATTTCATTATTCTTATCTCAGTAATCAGTAGAGCAAGCAGATAAAAGTTGGTATGGAAACAGTCTTAAAGACATCACAAACTAGTTGACTTAATACACATATGTAGAACACTGAAATCAATAACAGATCACACATGTTTTGAAAGCACTCAGAAAATATATATGGATGTAATTCTTTAGGTCATAAAGGAAGTTTTAATAAATTTGAAAGGATTTACTTAGTGCTTCAAGGAATATATGAGAGCTATAATTGAATGACAAAGATTTCTGGAAAATTTTCCATTGTTAACACAATAAACAACACTTTTAAATAACCTGTGAGTCAAAGAATAATGACTAAAAGACAGCTTTTTATGTTATCTCCTACCAGCAACCCCAGGCTCTTGGGGAAGCTGTTTTTCCCTCAGGCGTGGGATGACATCCTCAGTTAGCTAAGAGATAGGGTGTGTGGCTGCCTGTGTCATTGTTTCTCAGGATAGTCAGGAGATGGCCCCACAGTGATCACGTGTGTGAGGGCATAGAGGAAGTGTTTGTTGACACAAAGAATGGAACACTGTATCCACATGGGTGTGGGTATAGTCCCAGGCAAGCTACATTTCTTGTCTTCATGAGAGTTTTTATCTGATGGTCAAAGTAGTACCCAAAGCAAGATTTGGGGAATTAAGATCCAAAATCTTGTTAAATTCTGAAATGTTCCATGTGTCATCTTTCTCATCTAACAGACTGGTGTTGTCATTTGGATTTAAATTTCATGATGGCAGAGAAGAAAAAGATGCTAGAGACCAGTTAGGACAATAATTTTTCAAAGATTTTTCTTTTTTGTACATAAGAGGACTAGGAGTATTTATGTGTCATCATCATAGTCCCTAGGGTATTAAACAGTGATTATAACTTTTTTTCCTATTCAGGTAAATATTAGAATACAAGTGACTGATGACAGTAACTCTGTTCTGAAATATTTTTAAGTAGCTAATTCAGAAAATTCAACTCAAATTTATAAAAATAACATGAATTTTAATACATTATTTTAAGTAGTCTTACAACATCAAAAGTGCAATTTTCTTTTCTGTGCTGTATTATAGATGGTGAATTTGAGCCCAAACACACAGGGTTAGTTTTTCACCAATTAATAGCAAAGACAGGATAAGAGAAAACATTTTCTTTCTTCTAGAATTATATGTGTTGGGTCCACTACACCAGTCCTCTTTCTTTCTAGGTTTTCTATCGATAATAATGATCATGACAATAATAAGATGTTGTTGATGAGGATGAGGATGAACTCCAGGGACCTTACTCATTATATCTTTGTAGGCCAATACTTGTTATACTGTGGACACTTAATAATGTTTACTGAATGAATATACAACGATAACTCCTCATAGAGCTATGATTTTGACCTAGGTGAATACAGGATCTGGGACCTCGATCCAGGTCTCCCACATGGGTATCAGTTGCCAGGTACTTGAGCCATCACCTGCTGCCTCCAAAGGTCTGCATTGACAGGAAGCTGGAATTGGGAGCTTGGGCTGGGAATTGAACCCAAGCATTCTGATATGGGATGTGGGTGTCCCAAGCCATGTTGCAACCATTCACCAAACAGCAGCCCTCTATATTAGCTTTCTTAAAAAAAATTTATTTATTTATTTATTTTTTGAAAGTCAGAGGTACACAAAGAGAAAAGGACAGGCAGAGAGAGAAAGAGAAAGAGAGAGAGAGAGAGAGAGGGCTCCTATCTGCTGGGTCAATCCCCAGTTGGCTACAATGGCTGGAGCTGCACTGATCTGACCCAGACCAGATTTGGCTGGAATTTGGCTGTGAAGTCCTCTGTGTAATGTGGTCAGTGACATCACCAAAGGTTGTGCTGGTTGCACAACCTTAGTTTATGTTTGCCTTAGTTTATGTTGCCTTGGGGATTTAGGAGCCTAGTGTGCCAGGCAGGTCGGGTTTTGTGGCTATGACACAGTTACTGTAGCTCAGTTAACAGAAGCACCCTGCAGAATCGGAAAGCACCTTCAGATTCAGACTCCTGGCGCCCTGCTTGTCCACCATTCATTTCATGTGATGCTGATGTTACTGGAGGGGTGGGGAGGGGTCACAGCCACCCAGCCGAGCATGGACTTGGCACTTAGCTTTTCAGACGAGGTGCTTCCCTGGAGTTTATTGTCACAAACACAGCACTGACCTGCGGTATCAAGTGATCACGTGTGGGAACAGGAGCAGGAGGAGGAAGGAGCCAGCACTGGTCAGGGCAGCTTATTCTTGGTGTGTGTGAGCAGTGCCAATAAGCTGTCAAAAAAAATTATGGTTTAAAACAAACAGCCAGCTGGCACCACGGCTCACTAGGCTAATACTCTGCCTGCAGTGCTGGCACACAGGGTTCTAGTCCTGATTGGGGTGCTGGTTCTGTCCCGGTTGCTCCTCTTCCAGTCCAGCTCCCTGTTGTGTCCCGGTAACGTAGTGAAGGATGGCCCAAGTCCTTGGGCCCTGCACCCATATGGGAGACCAGGAGGAAACACCTGGCTCCTAGCTTCAGATCTGTGCAGCGCACCAGCCACAGCACGCCAGCTGTAGTGGCCACTTGGGGGTGAACCAAGGGAAAAGGATGACCTTTCTCTCTGTCTCTCTCTCTCACTGTCTAAATCTGCCTGTGAAAATAAAAATACAGCCCACAGCCTTCAATTCACTTTCACCAAGACGCTCAAGCAGCTCAGAGGGAGCACAATTGATTCTGTTTTGACAGGTCCTGATGTACGCTAAGCACTGCCTTATTTATTTGTCATGATGTTCTTAGGAAGAAGGTGGGATTGTGTACATTTTACAGCTGGGAAAACGAAGCTGTCAGTGATGAAGCGTGTGCCTAGAGTATTTCAGTTACAATGAAGGTACTTCAATGAATTCCTAGGAAATGGAATTCAAAGATAACTTGATTTTGTTGCAAAAATGTTTGAATTCCACAACGTAGGTTTTTTTTAATAATAGACATTTTCATGAAGTTTTTTCAAGACCTCTCATGTAGGTATCCATGTCAAAATTTTTTATACCAAAACCAATTTTTTCGGAGCAGGCATTTGGTGCAACAGTTAGGTCACTTCCTGGGACACCCGCATCCTTTTTGGAGGGCTGGACATAGACCTTGCTGATTTTTTCAGAAGTCTACGCTTTTTCCGTCACATCCATGACAATGAGCTCTGGCAGGACATCATGCTTTGGTGCCACTCCCAGACATGCATGTTCAGTTCCTCTGTGGAGGAGCTGGGGGGAACTGCAACTCGATACTCTGTTTTCTCATTAGCCCAGTTTGTCTTAACCTGTGAGCAAGAGCACATGTTTAGGAAAGTAAGAGGACAGCTCTTATGGCAGATGGATTTCTGCTCCCACGCCTTCCGTGGGAAGGACTTGCCCTGCCAGAAGTCAGAGGCACAAGGCAGCACTGGTGTATCTCTGTGTTTGTGGTGCAGGTGGGCAAGTGGGAGAACCAGACCCTGAGCCCAAGGCCCACGGTGAGGCCCTGGTACAAGTCCTTCTCTGACTGTGAGCTGAATCACAACCACATGAGCATCATCACCCTGGAGGAGGCCCCCTTCGTCATCGTGGAAGACATCAACCCGCTGACTGAGGCGTGTGTGCGGAACATGGTGCCGTGTCGGAAGTTCATCAAAATCAAGTGAGTGCCAGGGAGGCTGTGGTCTGGACATGCCCACGCCTGTCACATAGTGCAAGTCACTGATCACAACAGCATCTGTACTACAAAACGTAACACAGAACACACTGTTGTGATAGCTGTAGTGTTAGCAATGGGCTTATGTTTATGATAGCCTGGAGATGCACTAAGTTTACATCCGTTAATTCTCACAGCCATATGAGGTGAGGGCGTTTGCCGTTTACAGTTGATACAGTTGAGTTATGGGCAGGTTGGAGAACACGGCTGAAGCCATCCAGAGGTATGGCTGACTCCAGCTGTGTTCTTACCCATGGTGCTCAGTCATCCCCCAGCATCCTAAAAAGTCTCTCCTTAAAGGATTTCTTTTTTTTTTTGACAGGCAGAGTGGACAGTGAGAGAGAGAGAGAGAGAGAAAGGTCTTCCTTTGCCGTTGGTTCACCCTCCAGTGGCCGCCACGGCCAGCGCACTGCGGCTGGTGCGCCATGCTGATCCGAAGGCAGGAGCCAGGTGCTTATCCTGGTTTTAAACATTTTTCTGTCTGTCCCCTCCCTGGCACGTCCCCCTCCTCTGTATTTCCCAGACCGGGGGTGGACACAGCTTGGGAATGATTTCCTGATGCTGTAGAGGTGGAGTTTGAACCACTGACAGCATGCCAGTGTTGCATCCCTGCTGAAGAGTCATGAGTTGGTGGAGGATGGAGGGACTGTGCAGGGAAGTCATGGGCTGGAGGATGATGGAGGGGACATTGCAGGTTTGTTACCAAGGGCCGTTCTGATTTCAGTGGGTGTTGGGAGCCAAGCTTGACCACGTGAAGAAAGCAAGGAGCATAACATCTGTGGGACAACACCCTGTATGCTTCATTATGGCCCATGAGTGTAGTCTCTTCTTCATAGTAGATAGCAGGAGTTTACAGTCTTTGAAAATCAGAAGGCCTAGAGCTGAAAACAAGCAGATGTCCACATCCCAGTTTGCTTGACTATGAAGTACATGAGCCAAAAATCAACGACTCCCTATGAAAGAATTGATATTTTTACTGAACACTGTGAACAGTGTCTCAGGTTCAAGCTCAAATTTTGTTGTTGTTGTTGTTCCTGTATGGAGGGGGCAGCTTGTGGCTTTGCCTTTTCTGCTTGAGAACATGAGAAGTTTACTATGTATAGAGGTGAATTAAAGCCTCTGACTTCCGTGGGAGCAATACAAAATTAGAATCCATGAATCCCAACATTAACGTAGGTTAAAGCAATTAAATTTCCTAAATGTAGCATTTTGAGTTAGGTTAATTGGTTACAAAAAGAATTCCTGTTGGACAACATGACTGTATTTACTTGGTACTGATTTTTCCAGGGAAAAACCTGCCCTTTGTAGCCTCTGGGAGATTCTGGGGTCTTGGGGGCCCATATTAGTCTCCAAAACCAATTTAGGTATTGAGTCCAGTGGTTATCACATGGAATATATACAAGGGTGGTCTCAGAGTACCCCAGATCTGAGGTCATCACCCTGGAGGCTAGAGCTCAATGTCTACATGGTGATCATGGCTGTAGAAGCAGAGTGGTTGAGGCAAACTCAGGGGCAGCATGACTGTGGTGGTGAGGAAGGTAGGTGGTTGGTGATTCTGGAATAAAGGAGAGCTCCAGGGAAAAGGTGGCATTTTCAACCTACTTCTGCTACTCAGTTATATTTTCAAGTCTGTCCACATTCATGGATGTAGCTATAAATAAACCTCTCTGACTCGATTATGTGTGCGTAACAAATTATATATGATATATGTAGTCCATATTAACTGGAGAATTTGATGGAAAAATCCTAATATGAAAAGGCAAAAATCATTTTCTACCATTAAAAATAGCTGTGCTTCTCATTATTTTTTCCTCCAGTTATTTCATAAACTCATTAGTTTTTACATAGCTGTGATTATTATTTATAGTATTATATAACCTCTTTTTTAAACTAAGAGATAGAAATGTACTTTCCTACTATGAAGTTGAGTGTCTTCAAACGTTATTTTAGTGCTTAGACGATAGTCCCGTGTGTGATTGTGCTCAAAATGTACGGTTAAAGATGGAGCACCTACATTGTAGCATGTGTGATTCAAGTAGAAGGTAGAGCTACTGGGATGTTCCAGTGTAAGCAAGTTTGTTCCCTGAAGAGGCTGTGGTCTTCCTGCCTGCGTTGTCCAAGACTTTCTGCTGTCAGTGGGGAAGACCATCATTTCCTTCCTTACCAAAGACATTTCTGATTCGTGTGGGTGTTCTTTTCTAGGAGTTGGTGGGGAGAGTACAGCAGGGTGCCTGGTAGAAAACAGTGAGGTTGACCCTGGCAGCTCAGAAGATAGGCTTTCCGCTGGCAATATGGTCTCTGTTTTAATGGCAATTTTTCCCCCAGCCCTGGATATTACTCTTGAAAAGTTTGACCTTTTGTGCATCAAGCCATGTTGTTAGGAAGAAAAAATAGTACGAATGAGCCTTCACAGATAGTCGGGCCTAGTGTGAGAAGTTAATTCTGTGGACTCGGGCATGGGGTAGAACCCCATGATTGTAGGAGTTATCTAGGCACTTCCAGTTCTTCCCTTTGGTTTCAGGCCTCCGTACTTAGAGGATGAAGCAAAACCTTACTTTACTTGAGAATTTCACACCTTCTTCTCTTCCATTTTCCAATAAATTTTTATGACTCAACTTAGATCAGATTGCTAGACTGTGGTTTAATGAAGTTGTATGTGGGGGCCGGTGCCGTGGCTCACTTTGTTAATCCTTCCCCTGCAGCAGCGGCATCGCATATGGGTGCCAGTTCTAGTTCCGGTTGCTCCTCTTCCAGTCCAGCTCTCTGCTGTGGCCCGGGAGGCAGTGGAGGATGGCCCAAGTGCTTGGGCCCTGCACATACATGGGAGACCAGGAGGAAGCACGTGGCTCCTGGCTTTGGATCTGCATAGCTCCAGCCATAGTGGCCATTGCGGGGTGAACCAACAGAAGGAAGACCTTTCTATCTGTCTCTCTCTCACTGCCTACCTCAATCTGTCAAATAAAAAAAAAGAAGTTGAATGTGTTAGAAATGTTTAAAAATAAGAGTTAGTAACTCTTGCCTGTTGAGTAGAGGTACAAATGCTACCTAATTTGGAGAAACATCATGGAGCTCAATCCAGCAATTGGTATAAAGGCATTTAGTGCAGTGCCTAACTGCAGTGTAGTAACTTCTCAGTAAACATTAGCTATTTTGCTAGTAACCGCTATAATTAAAGACACTTGCTCCTCTGGCCGCCATAAGCTCAGTGTGCGTCCATGGAAAAGTTACTTCCCTTCTTGAATTTCAACTTCGCAAAGCTAGTAGAAGGGTATAGCTAATGACTAGACAAGTCTTCCAGTACTAACAGCCCATGTTCTTGGGATTTTCTTTGCAGCGATTCAGCTAACAAGGGGGTGAACTTTAAGAAATGCTGCAAGGGGTTCTGCATTGGTATCCTGAAGAAGCTCTCCTGGATGGTCAAGTTTACCTATGACTTCTACCTGGTGACCAAAGGGAAGCATGACAAAAATGTCAACAATATGTGGATTGGAGTGATTGGGGGAAGTAAGTCACCTTTCCACCCTGGCCTCCCATTCTAACGGGGGCCTGTGGTCAGAAGTGTTGGGAAGAACATGTAAAGGTGCCATTCTTTTTATGCCTTACCTCCAGGTGGTTACCACAAAGCGGTCCTGGCAGTGGGCTCGACAGCATCAATGAGGAGCATTCTGAAGTGGTGGAATTCTCCGTGCCCTTTGTGAAGACAGGGATCAGTGTCATGGTTTCAAGAAGCAACAGCACTGTCTCGCCTGCTGCTTTTCTAGGTAGGTGAACATCATAGGGAATCCTGCTTCGCTATAAGAAATTATAGTTTGCTGAAAGCATGGGACTGGACCAGACCTAGCTGTTTAGCATGATTTGCCCACATCAGCATGTTCCAGAGCATGTTGCATTTATATTATCCCAACTCACACTCCCCCACCACCACTCCAGTTCATAGCTCTCATTAATCCTGTTACAAATCTCTGCTGAAAACTACTCTCATATTTTCAGATACCAGTCTTCACTCTAGAATGCAAATTAATAAATATATGGCTTAGAGCCTTGAAAATATTTAAGAACTTAAACCTGGCTGTCCACAGTTAATTTAAATCAGTGCATAAAGCTTTACTCAACATCCATGTACACATCTTGCATCCCATGCTGTGGGGTAAATGCCAGTCATTTATTTATTAGATGCCAGAGGGAAAATAATGATGACTGCACTGTTATTTATACCAGTACTCTGGTAAACAAAATGGTAGTCTGAAGAATGTACACTGGTTTAAAATTAATGGAATCACATTTTAAATATGGCTGTTCTTTAAGCCAAATAGTTTGCAAAGCAGGAAGATCTCTTGACTCTGTTTTAACGTAAGTTTGTTTTCACATTAAAATATTCCCTTTTTGGATTTGTATATTTTCTCTTCCTTTAAACTTTTCTTCAGCTCTGTATGTACATGTGTTGGATACCCCGGCTAGATTAGTGAGAACTCCATGGAAGGTAGCCCAGCCCAGTGCATTTTTCTCTCTCACAAGGAAAGTGTTGTGTTGACTTTTCTTTCACATGCATTATTTCCATTAGTGGATGTCTTGTTGACAATCAGGCACTTCAGAGCATTAACTCCCTCTTGGTACTGCTATATGCATGCATTCACCTCAAAGTTGTGAAGATTGGAACACACCTTAGAGGAAAGCAAGTAAGAGAGAGAAGGAAGTTCTACGAAGCTTAATCAAAGAGTTGCAGAGAGAGTTAGAAACAAAGAGAAAAAGAAAGGCAAAGAAAGAGAGAGGTCTTCTATTTGCTAGTTAACTCCCCGATGGCTGCGATGATCAAACTGAGCCAATACAAAGTCAGGATCCAGGACCTTCTTCCTGGTCTCTCATGTGGTTTCAGTGGTCCAATGACTTGGGGCATCCTCTGCCACATTCCCAGGCACATTAGGAGGGAGCTGCATGGGAAGAGGAGCAGTCAGGACTCGAATTGGCACCCATATGGGATGCTGGCACTGCATGTCGTGTCTTTAACCTGCTAGAACACAGCACTGTCCCTGACAGTATGGTTTTATTCTTTCATGATTTTGATCTATTTATGTTTATTGATTTGCAAATGTGGAACCACCATGGCATTTCTGGGATAAATTCCAATTGAAGGTAATATATGAGCTTTACCATGTGGTTTTGGAGTTTTTTTTAGTTTGGCTAGAATTTTATTGAGAATGTTTTCATCTATTTTATTAAGGATATAGGGTGGCAATTTTCTATGCATTTCATGTCTTTTGTAGTTCCTGGCGTCAAAGGAATGCTGGCCTCATAAAAAGTGTTTGCCAAAATTCAGTGTTATTCAGTATTTTGAAGCAGTTTGAGAAGTGTTGAAGTGCCTTTTGAAATGTTTTATTGAATTCAGTCGTAATGCAGCTAGTTTTCATTGCTGGAGTTTTAGTGCCTGGAGTTTGCTGGAAAATTTTTAATTACTGCTTCAATCTCATTGGCTTTAAAGGGTCTTTTTCAGATGTCTGTCTTCTGGGTTTAATCTTAGTAGTTTATATGTATTTGTTATTGAGGAATTTCTCCATTTCTTCCTGTTTTTTCCAATTTTTTAGCATATGATATTGAATAGTAATTTCTTATGAAGCCTTGTATTTCAGTGATGTTGGTTATTATGTCTGCTTTTCATCTGTAATTTCACTTACTGTAGAGTTTTTCTCTTTTGTTATGTTAGTCTGGTTAGAGGATTATCTATTTTTTTTTAAATTTTATGTCAGGTGTACAAATTTCTTGCATTTCTTCTATACAGAGTCAACACATACTGATACATCTTCCCATGCTACAATCCCTCCATCCGGCTCTCACACCCTTCTGCTCATTCCCTCTTTTGTTACCACTCTTAATTCTTAATAATTATCTATTTTCTGTTAACTATATACTCATATGTTTAACCACACAATAAGTAGAGAACAGTATGAAGAAAAAAAAACACTGTAGAAAATCATCTATCACAGAATGTCAGTTTCCCTCCTACCCATTACCCTTTAGGTCTGTATTAGTTACCACAAATCAGGGTACATATGGTATTTGTCCTTTCAGAATGGCTTATTTCACTAAATATACTGGTTTCCAATTATATCCATTTTGTTGCTAAAGACAGCATCTCTGTAATCCCCAATGGGTTGTGTTACCTAGTGTATATAGGCCATGATTTCTTTATCCAGTCATCAGTTCATGGACATCAAGATTGATTCCATGTCTTAGCTATTGTGAACTGAGCTGTACTAAACTTGGAGGTGCAAATAATCCTTTAAAATCTGCTGATTTCATTTCCTAGGGGTAAATCACCTTGAGTTGGATTGCTGAGTCATATAGTAGATTTATTTCCAGCTTTCTGAGGTATCTCTACTTGCTTCCACAATGGCTTCACCAGTTTATGTTCCCACCAGCGGTGGATTACGTTCCCATAGTTGTCACATCCTCAGTAGCATTTATTGTTTGCTGATTTCTGTATGTGAGCCATTCTAACTGTTGTGCAGTGAAACCTCATTGTCATTTGGATTTGCAATTCTGTGATGGTTTGTGATCTTGAGCATTTTTTCAAGTGTCTGTTGGCCATATGAATTTCCTCACTTGAAAAAATGCATGTTCAAGTCCTTTTCCCATTTCTAAACTGGATTTTTTGTTTTGTGGTTGCTGAGTTCCTTGAACTCTTTATAGATTCTAGATATTAATCTTCTATCAGTTTCATAGTTTGCAAGTATTTTCTCCCATTCTTTCAGTTGCCTTTTCACTTTGCTGAGTGTTTCTTTTGTAGCGCAGAAGCTCCTCGGCTTGATGGAATCATATTCGTCTCTGCTTTTACTGCTTGTGCTTCTGGGATCTTTTTCCCCAGAAATCTTTGCCTATGCCAATACCTTTCGGTTTTCCCCAATGTTCTCTAGTAGTTTGATGAGATTGGGTTTTAGATTTTGTTCCTTGAAGTATTTTTAATTGTTTTTTGTATAAGGTGTAAGGCATGGGTCTTCTTTCATAGTTCTGCGTGTGTAGGTCCAGTTTTCCCAGGACCATTTTTTGAAGAGACTGTCCTTTGCAGCTGGGATTGATCTTCAGCTCATTTGTCCAATAGAATTTGTTTGTAGATGTGTGCACAGATTTCTGGAGTTTCTTTTCTGTTCCATTGGTCTATATGTCAATTTTTTGCTTATACCATGCTGTTTTGATTGTAACTGCCCTGTTCTGTGTCTTGCAGTCTGTCGTTGCGATGCTTTGAGCTTTGTTTATGTATATGTTTTAAATTTGTATTTAACAAATATAAATTTCAAAAGTGCAACTTTTGGATTATAGAGGCTTTTCCCCCCATAACCTCCCTCCCACCCACAGCCATCCCATCTCCCAACCCCTCTCCCATCCCATTCTTCATCAAGATTCATTTCCAATTAGTTTTATATACAGAAGATCAACTTAATATATACTAAGTAAAGATATCAACAGTTTGCACCCACGCAGATACACAAAGTATAAAGTACTGTTTGAGTACTAGTTTTACCATTAATTCGCATAGTACAACACATGAAGTATAGTGCTCATTAAGAAATGCCACGCATTTACTTTTTTTCCCCCATTTTCTTTTTAATAGGTACAGTAGCATCTTAGGAACATCAGATTACTTGTTAGAACAAGGAAACTGTCTTCCAAAACCTGCCTTACAGACTGTCAGCCAGGATATCTCCTGCACGTGGCCTTTATGAGAAGGAGACAGGCAAAAAATGCAGCGTTAAGAACACAGTTGCATAGGGAAGCCAATGCCTCTCTACATGTTTTCCTCAAACTTCTATTTCAGATCGTTGGGCAGAGAGAGTGCATATTCAGGGAGTTCTAAACCCCTGCCCGAGCCCCCATCACAGACAGAGAGATGGTGTGGTAAAATGGACCAGTATATTACATCCTTAATCCCCACTTCCAGTGGAAACAAGGGTTACTTAGAGGACTTTTCTCATCACTCTGGTTAACGTGTTTCTGGTTTGGATCAGAAGGGAGCAGAGGGCCTGTGACATTATGGAAAGGACCTGAGTTGGTGTTAGTCTGAATTGAGGTCAGTCCGTGGCTTGATCTGTTTCTAGGGGAGTTATATGGCATCTTTCATCCTTCTCTGCCTCTTCCTCAAAATGGAGATAATCGTGGTTTCTTCATCAGTTTGTTGTGAAGATAAATATGTTCAGGTACTTGCGGTAGTACCTGGTACACCCAACGTTCTCTTTAAGTAGTCTTTGTCCTTATTAAAAGTGTGGATGTGTGTGCAGGAAAGGGCGTGATAGTGGGGAGGAGCTGGGGGGAACTGTGGCCCGATACTCTGTTTTCTCTTTAGCACCAGTTTGTCTTAACCTGTGGGCAAGTGCATGTGTTGAGGAAAGTAACAGGACAGCCCTTATGGCAGATGGATTTCTGCTCCTGTACCTTCCATGGGGAAGACTCACCCTGCTGGAAGTCAGAGGCACAAAGCAGCAAAAAGCTTAAAATTGGGATTCCAGATGAAATAATCTTACTTTACTTTAAAAATATTTAAATGAACACTGACCACAAACAATGCGTAGTCTGGTGCTTTGGGGACCTGACTCTGTCCTGTTATCCAAGGCACTCTTTCTCCAGGTTGTCATTTTAATTTGTCATTCCTTGGGTATTAGATCACTGGATGGTTGAGTTTATTTCTTTAGTTATTGTGAAAGTTGAAGGTGGAGGGAGGAAAGAGAGAGAGAGGGAAGGAGTCTTCCATCTGCTGGTCTACTACCAAATTGGCTGCAATGGGCAGAGCTGAGAGTTTCTGAAGCCAGGAGCCAGGAGCCTCCCCGGGGTCTCCTCATGGGTGCAGAGGCACTAGACTTGGGGCATTTTTTACTGCCTTCCCAGACCACAGCAGAGAACTGCATTGGAAGTGGAACAGCCAGGACTCGAACTGGCGTCTTGGGATGCCGGCACTGCGGGTGGTGGCCTGACCCACTACCCCACAGTGCCGGCCCTTCCCGGAAGCCGTTCCCTCTGGGATCCAGCTGTCTGCTAACATGCCTGGGAAAGCGGAGGGAGACGGCCCAAAGACTTAGGCCACTGAACCCAGAATGGAGCACCAGATAAAAAGTCCCTGGCTTCTGCTTCGGCCTGTCCCAGTGCTGGCCTTTGTAGACACCTGAGGGGTGAACCCCCATATGGACTATCACTCAGAGAGAGAACAGTGCTTGCGATGGCCCCTGCACTGCTTCTCTCCCCACGTGGCTTTGATGGCCAGCGCTGGGCCAGGCAGAAGCCAGGAGGCAGGGGCTCCATTCAGGACTCTGAGCGGCAGGGAGGCAGGATCCGGAGAACCTGGGCAATCAGCAGCTGCCTCTCTGGGTCAAAGTCTGGAGCAGCGGGACTGAAGTGGCCCTGGGGCTTCTGTCCCTGGATGCTGCAGTTTGCAGATGTGGCGCCATGGCAACGGCCAGTGGGGAATGCGCCTACGTCCTGCACTTTGACCCGGAAGTGCACCCTCTGACATGGCTGCCTCTGACCTTGGTGCATGGGTAGGAGTAGCGTCTAGGTCTGCTGCTGCCCGAGAGTCTGCACAAGCCATGATGTGAGGAGCCGTCCTCCACGCTGGTGGTCAAGCCTAAGCCTGACCCATCAGCCCCAGGGTCAGGCCGGCATCAGGAGAGGCTGCGTGTCCGAGGCTGCCAAGCCATTTCCTACGCACGTTTCTCTTCTTCGGCCCCTTCCAGAAGCAACGGTTTTGGCAGGCCTCTATCCCGCCAGGAGACCGGGCCCCCTTGCAGGTGAGTGATGCGTGGCTGTTGCGGCTTCCCGCTGGGGTCTTGGCTGCAGGCGTGCCTGTTGCTCTTGGTCCCAAAGGCTCAGGAGGAGTCGCAGTTGTGCTGTGCGGACAGTCTGGAAGGGTCCCCAGGGTGCGAGCAGCTGTGCGAGAGCAGAGGTGGCTCCGTCTCCTCCCGGAACGGCCTTGTGTTCTTGTCTGTTTGCTTTTGGAGGGCCCAGCCTCCCTGCTCTGGACCTGTGAGTGTTGTCGGGAGGAATGAGAGCGAAAGTGCGTGTCTGTGTCCTGGTCTAGGAGGAGAGTTTCGGGTTCCTGGCATTGGGTGTGATGTTAGCGCTCTGTGGGTTTTTCATGAAAGAGCCTTGTCAGGCCGAGGTGTACCTTCTGTCCTAATTGGATGATTTGTTTTTAGTACCGCAAAAGTAATGAAGGTTTTGTGAAATAGGTTTTCTGTGTCTGTTGGGATACTTTGTGAGTTTTCCCCATGTTTGTTCTGTTCTGGGATAAATTGCTTATGTATGATAGCCGTCCTTGCATTCCAGAGTAACTCTCAGTTGCGCACAGTGTGCTAAGCTTTGGTCGTGCTTCCGGATGGCATTTGGTAATATTTTGTTGAGGTATGCGACACATTCATGATGGATATTTGTGTGCCATTTTCTTGATGATGTGTGCTTGTTTGGGATGTTGGGATAATGCTGGTCTGATGGAATAATATGGAAGGCTTTTCCTCTTCATCTCCTTTTTGGAAGGGTGTGCAAAGAACAGATTATAATTATCTTTTAAATGGGAGTTCTCACCAGTAGAGCCATCTGGTCCTGGACTTTTCTTCATGTTTTTTGTTTGTTTATTTTTGTTTCCCTGCTACTGCAGTCTCTTTTCAAATTATAAGTGTATTTAGGGTTTCTTGTTTTACTGTATTCAGTTTTAGTGGTTTGTGTCTTTCTGACAATCAGTCCACACTGTAGCAACATTGACCAAATCCTTGTGCCTTGGCTTTTCCATAGTGTTTTCTGATGATTATTTTTGTAAGGTAGGTAATCGTGTCCTCTCTGTCATTTCTGTTGGGAAGTCACTTGAGTCTGTTCCCTTTTTTCCCTTGTTTCCTGCGGATAAACGTTTTGTCCATGTCACTGAGTGTTCAAGAATAGTATTCTGGTCTCACTGAATTTCTGTTGTGATATTTTCTATTCCGTTGGATTTATTTTAGTTCATATCTTTTTCCTCCTTCCGGTTTCTTAAGATTTACTTTTCTGTTCTAGTGTTTTAAGGTAAAATTGGGTTTACTGATCTGGTGTCTGTATTCCTTAATATATACATATATAGCAATACAATTTCTCATGTGAAACAAGTCCTGTCAACATGGAAAACTGTATGGATGTACACAGTACTGGTAACATATTGAAGGAAACGAATCATTATGTAGGCAGAGGTTTTCACAGGCCTATGCTCATTGCAGCAGAATGCACACTAGCCAGGCTGTGCAGTCTGTGTATGTATGTATGTATGGTGTACATAGCCCATAATGTCTTTATTCGGACTTCAGGTGATTGGCATTTTGGTTGCTTGCATATCTTTGCTCTTGTAATTAGCTGTAGTAAATATGAGGGCAGAGATAACTGTATGTTGATTTCATTTCCCTTTTGTATATTCCCAGGGCTGGAGTGGCTGGCTCATATGGTGCATCTATCTTCAGATTTCTGAGGTATCTGCATACTGTCTTCCACAGTGGCTGTAGCAGTTTACATTCCTACCAGCAGTGGATTAGGGTGTCTTTCCCCCACATCCTGAAGGCTATTGTAGTATTGATTTGCATTTCTCTGATGGCTAGTGATCCTAAGCATTTTTCCATGTGTTTGTTTGCCATTTAGATTTCCTTTCTTGAAATATGCCTGTTGAAGTCCCTTGCATATTTCTTGATGCGTGGTTTGTTTTGCTGTTGTTGAGTTTCTTGAAAGTTTCTGGTACTTAATCCATTATCAGTTGCATACTTTGAAGATAATTCTGTCTATTCTGTTATTTGCCTTTTCATTTTGCTGAGTGTTTCTTTTGTAGTGCAGAAGCATCTCAATTTTTTTGTTTTCTTCTATTCTTTTGTTTAATCTTTTGTGATTCTCAGATATTGGACCTCCTTGGCTAAATTTATTCCAAGGTCCTTTATTTTCTTTGTAGCTACTTGAACAGGTTTGGTCATGGAGGTTCTTTCTCAGCCATGACATTGTTGGTGTATACAAAGGCTGTTGATTTTCTATCCTGCCACGTTACCAAACTCTGCTATGAGTTTTGAGAGTCTCTTAGTGGAATCTTTTGGATCTCCTATATATAGAATCATGTCATCTGCACATAGGGGTAGTTGAACTTTCTCCATCCCCATTTGTATCTAACATTGAGAAATGAGAGAAAAAGTACCAACAGGATAACATGCACGTAGAAAATGTCAACAGTGACCTCAGATGCTACCTTTATATTCTGTCTTGCTTTGTGGAATACAGGATTTGTACTATTTCAAACATGATCCATACTTTAAATGCAAGGCTAGTTATGGAGATTGGAGATTGGCAAGCAGACCTGTGTTCCGTGGAGAACCGTGTAGATCACGGGTGTTTCAAGTCCTTGTGCGAATGGGTATGTAAGTGTCTGAATAAATAAATTCCAGAGATTTCCTCATGTATAATTCAGAAATCATACCACACAGAATGTTTGTAAGGAAGAAGAGAATGAATGGGTACCAAAACCTTTTCTAAGACTGAGTTAAACTCCTTTTCAAATTCTTTGTTAGTAGGGCATGTAGTGCATATAGTATCAAATTCTAGATAAGCTCTAGTAGTTGGCCTTGATGTAGTATTTTATTTAGAGCTATGTTTTCCTTTTTTAAAAGAATTTTGCCTTTTTAAAGATTTTTTTACTTGAAATTAGGAGTTACACAGAGAGAGAGAGAGAGAGAGAGAGAGAGAGGAAAGGCAGAGAGAGAGAGAGAGAGAGAGAGAGAGAGAGAGAGATAGATAGGTGTCTTCCATGTGGTGGTCCACTCCCTAATTGGCTACAATGGACAGAGCTGAGGGGATCCAGAGCCAGGAGCCAGGGACCAGGAGAATCGCCAGGGTCTCCTGCATGGGTGCAGAGGCACAAGGACTTCTACTGCATTCCCAGACCACAGCAGAGAGCTGCATTGGAACTGGAGCAGCTGGGACTCAAACCAGCGCCCATATGGGATGCTGGCACTGTGGTCAGTGGCTTCACCTGACCCCACAGTGCCTGCCTCTCCTAGAGGCCATTCCCCGTGGGATGCAGCTGTCTGCTAAGCAGCTTGGGAAAGCACAGGGAGAAGGCACAAGGAATTAAGCCCCTGCACCCAGAATGGAGCATCAGATAAAATGTCCCTGGCTTCTGCTTTGGCCTGTCCCAGTGCCAGCCTTTATAGCCATCTGTGGAGTGAACTCCAATATTGATGATCACTAAGAAAGATAAATATTGTTCGCGATGCCCTCTGCACTGCTTCTCTCCCCACATGGCTTTGATGGCCAGGGCTGGGCCAGGCAGAATCCAGGAGGCAGGAGCTCCATTCAGGACTCCCACAAGGCCTGGAGGTAGGGTCCAGACTACCTGGGTCATCAGCCACAGCCTCCCTGGGTCACAGTCTGGAGCAGAGGGACTGGAAGTGGCCCTGCTGCGTTGGACGCTGGATGTGCCAATGCATCCCCTGGTGCCATGGCAGCCGCCCATGGGGATTGCACCTGCGCCCAGCACTGTTCCTTGGAAGTACGTGTACATGCGTGGCCCCTTTTGACCCAATGTGCTCAGGTGGGAGTCCGCAGTGCATTGGCTCAACCCGAGAGCCTTTTCAAGCAACGAAGAGCCGTCCTTGACCCTGCTGGCGGAGCATGAGGGAGACCCAGCAGCCCCAGGGTCAGGCCTGGATCTGGAGAGGCCAGACCCGAGGCGGCCACATCAGTTACCTTGGACTTCTGGAAATTACTAGGCTCGGTTCTTTTCTTCGGCTCCTTCCAGAAGAGTATGCCTCTTACTGAGTTCCTGTTCAAGAAGAACAGAAACGCTCTTTCTGCATTTAGTTTGGCATGTTGACCTTTCTGTCATGGTGTGGGCGGGGGCTGGGGTGTGCATGCAAGGGGGTTAAGGGGATAGTAGTAGGAGGAAGAGTGTCAAGGGAGAAGCGGGAGCAGAGAGGAATGGGAGAGAATGAAAAGGTGGTATGAATGTAGGGAGGCGTGAAACAAAGCTAAGAAAGGCGTGTTGCAGAAAGGAAAGGGAGGGGGAGTGTGACAGGAGTCCTGGAGAGTGTGGTGGGTTGTTGGGAGAGGAAGAACTTTTCCCACGGTTCCAGTACTGTTTTAGGGGTTTCCTGTGCCTGGCCAGATGTAGCCTTGGCCACATCCATGAGAAGAGGCCTTGACTCACGTCCTCTCTGCTGCGGGTTGTGCAGCAGTGTAAGGTATGTGTGCAGGGGCATGGGGGCACGGGGCGCTCGAATTAACTGGCATGTAATCCAGTGAATTTTCACAGACTGCACACACGGAGGAGAAAGCAGAAGCTTAGAGAAACACCAAGAATCCCTCTGTGTTCTGTTCCAGCCTGTCCAAGGTTGTGACACCTCATAGTAAGTACTAGATATTTTTTACTTTTAAAGATTGGTTTGCAAGGCAGAGTTATAGATGAGGCAGTGCAGGAGAGATCTTCAATGTATGGGTCCCTACCCCAGGTGGCTACAGTGTTCCGGGGGTGGGCCAGGACAGACCAGAAGCCAGGTACTTTATCCAGTACTCCAGTGTGGGTTCGGATGCCTAAGCGCTTGGGCTACTTCCTCTGCTTTCCTTAGGGGTATGAGCAGAAAGCTGGATCACAAGTGGGAACAGCCTAGGTATTTGGGGCAGCGGGTTGGCTGAGCCATGGCATCGTGAATGAAGCCGCTGCCTGCAGTACCAACATCCCATATGGGTGTTGGTTCAAGTCTCAGGAGTTCCACTTCCATTCCAGCTCTGCTGTGGCCTGGCCAAGTAGTAGAAGAGGGCCCAAGTCCTTGGGCTGCTGCACCTGTGTGGGAGTCCTGGAGGAAGCTACTGGCTCTTGGCTTCAAATCTGCTTAGCTCCGACTGTTGCGTCCATCTCTTATTTTTATCCTTTTATCCCAAGAGCAGTATCTTTCGTGTGTTTCACAATATATACTAAGCTTAATAAAATGAAAAGATTTGAAGATTTTCCTGCAAGTCGCTTTTGCTGCAGCCTCTCCAGTTGGCAGAGCACCAAACATTGCTCTGTATTTCCGAGTTTCAACTTGGCAAGAAACAAGTTGTGAGATTTAGGACTGAAGAAACAAATTGTGCATGGAACACTCTTTACTTTGTACTGTGAAGTTTATGGGTCAGTTTCTCTGGGATTGTGCTAATAAAGGGAAAACTCAAAGTTAAGTAACTCCCATGAAAGCCGAGGATGTTGATCCTAAAGGCTGAAGTTAGGGGATTACTCAGACTTTGAATTTCAGCTTCTTATTGTGTATCAAGTGATCCAGTGCTTGTCGTTGAAGAAGAATGTGTGAAATTTTTGACATTAAGGTTGGCTCTGCCTAATAGCAGTGACTCTTACCATTTAGTGCACTTACCAGTCAACTGGGAAGCTTGTTAGAGTGCCGATTCTGGGCCCCACTGCAGAGTCTGTGAAAGGGACAGGAATAAGCATAGCTACTGGGCTCCACACCATACAGGTACAGCTATGGCTTTAAAACTGTTTCACTGACCTCATATGTGAGATTGTTAAATTAACAACAGGAGTCACTGTGTTCTAACTCCCTATGCAGGATCTCTGTCCTCAATGAGTTGCATTATGAGAGTTGACTGTAAAACTAGTTCTCAAACTGTGTGTGTGTGTATGTGTGTCTGAGCACGTGTGTGTGTGCAACTTGCTGAAATCTTTACTTAATATAGAATTTGTCTTCTGTGTATAATGTTAATTGAAAATAAATTTTAATGGAGAATGGGACTGGGAAGGGGAGAGGGAGGAAGAAGTGGTGTGGGAGTATAGGTGGGAGGATGGGTATGGCGGGAAAATTCACTGTATTCCTAAGGTTTTATTTATAAAATTTATATTAAAAATAAATAAATAGAAAGGAAGAAAAAAAGCTTATTTTCAGCAGTGGTTCTCTTGACATTTGGGTAATTCATAGCCATGGGGAGTTGTTTTATGCATTAAAGACTTTAGCATCCTCTCTAGTGTTTACACACTAAGTGTTGGTTGTACCTCACCCCCAAGTTGTGGCAGGTAAATTCTCCAGCCTCTGCTTGGTAGGACCCATTCCTGTAGATTCTGGCTGGCTGGTAGACAAGTATCATGCACTGAGTTTTGAGTTGGTAAATGGTAAGGTCAGTTTTAGAGTTTGTTGAGTTGAATTGGTTGGTGGGGTACAATGAATGTCCAGTTATTTTGATATGGGAATGATTAGGGCTAGATATAGGATTTGGGAGCCATCATCATCTCTAGTTTAACTCTAAAAATGGCTAAAATATCCAAGAAAATGATGATAAACAGAGAGGAACAGTGGCAATAACACAGAACCCGGGAGGAGTGCTAACGGTGTGGGAGGTGAGTGAAGGAAGAGGCTTCCGTAAGAAGTCATCAGGGATGTAGGAGAAGGGCAAGAAGCAGAGATGTTTTGGAAAGTGATGGAAGCGAGTATGGCCAGGATAAGGAAGGTGACACTCAGCCGGAGAAATGCTTCAGAACTATAAATCCCAAAAAGACTGATTGGACCTAGCTGCTGAGAGATCATCTTGACTGTAGAGACCTGTACTGTATAAGATGTGGCCACTGAGCACTAGAGGTGTGGCTGGACCATGCTGCAATTTGCTATAAGCATAAAGTTCACACTTCCAAAGAGTTTCCCTCATGACTCATTTGAGTCTCCTCCAGTGATTGAGACTACAGCCTGGAGGTGAGAGTGAGGGGCAGTCTCAGCATCCTAACCACTGCCATGTCTTCCATATTGGAGAAGTTCTCCTACATCCTTGAGGACAAGGTTAGCTGCTACGGGCAGACCGAGAAGCCAGAGGCCCCACTGCATACTCTTTGCCAGTAAGAGAGAGCTCTTTGCTTATCTCCTAAAGTGAGATCGCAGTTTAGTGGTCGCTTGTTTAGATGTTTGTTGATGAAAATATGCACTGAAAATAGAAAATGTGATGTGTGTGCATTTGGGACTTATGTTGTGTTTAATTTCACTCTGCTTTCCTCTCCCTTTATCTCAAATGCTTTTGCTTTTTTTTTAACTTTATTTAATGAATATAAATTTCCAAAGTACGACTTATGGATTACAATGGCTTCGCCCCCATAACGTGCCTCACACCTGCAACCCTCCCTTTTCCCACTCCCTCTCCCCTCCAATCACATCAAGATTCATTTTCGATTCTCTTTATATACAGAAGATCAGTTTAGCATACATTAAGTAAAGATTTCAACAGTTTGCTCCCACACAGAAACATAAAGTGAAAAATAATAGATGATTTTTTAAATCATGATGAAATCAGATCAGACCTATTGTCATGTTTAATCCCAGTGAGAGTCAAGTTGGGAATTGATAATTTCTTCTTCTTTTTTTTTTCAGAAGATCAGTTTAGTATACATTAAGTAAAGATTTCAACAGTTTCCAACCCATAGAAACACAAAGTGAAATATACTGTTTGAGTACTCGTTATAGCATTAAGTCTCAATGTACAGCACATTAAGGACAGAGATCCTACATGAAGAGTAAGTGCACAGTGACTCCTGTTGTTAACTTTACAAATTGACACTCCTGCCTATGGCATCAGTAATCTCCCTATGCTCCAGTCATGAGTTTCCAAGGCTATGGAAGCCCTCTGAGTTCTCCGACTCTTATCTTGTTTAGACAAGGTCATAGTCAAAGTGGAGGTTCTCTCCTCCCTTCAGAGAAAGGCACCTCCCTCTTTGAAGACCTGTTCTTTCCACTGGGATCTCACTCACAGAGATCTTTCATTTAGGTTTTTTTTTTTTTTTTTGCCAGAGTGTCTTGGCTTTCCATGCCTGAAATACTCTCATGGGCTTTTCAGCCAGATCGGAATGCCTCTAGGGCTGATTCTGAGGCCAGAGTGCTGTTTAGGACATCTGCCATTCTATGAGTCTGCTGAGTATCTCGCTTCCCATGTTGGATCACTCTCCCCTTTATTTATTCTATCGGTTAGTATTAGCAGGTACTAGACGTGTTTATGTGCTCCCTTTGACTCTTAGTCCTTTCATTATGATCAATTGTGAACTGAAATTGATCACTTGGAGTAGTGAGATGGCATTGGCACATGCCACCTTGATGGGATTGAATTGGAGTCCCCTGGTATGTTTCTAACTCTACCATTTGGGGCAAGTCAGCTTGAGCATGTCCCAAATTGTACATCTCTTCCCTCTCTTATTCCCACTCTTATGTTTAACAGGGATCACATTTCAGTTAAATTTCAACACTTAAGAATAACTGTGTATTAATTACAAAATAAAACCAGTCATATTAAGTAGAACAGATAAAAAAACTACTAAGAGGGATAATGAATTAAGTTGTTCATTAACAGTGAGGGCTATGCTGATCAAGGCACCATTTCTCATAGTGTCCATTTCACTTCAACAGGTTTCCTTTTTGGTGTTCAGTCAGTTGTCACCGATCAGGGAGAACATATGGTATTTGTCCCTTTGGGACTGGCTTACTTCACTCAGCATGATGTGTTCCAGATTCCTCCATTTTGTTGCAAATGACTGGATTTCGTTGTTTCTTACTGCGGTATAGTATTCTAAAGAGTACATATCCCATAATTTCTTTATCCAGTCTACCGTTGATGGGCATTTAGGTTGGTTCCAGGTCTTGGCTATTGTGAATTGTGCTGCAATAAACATTAGGGTGCAGACCGCTTTTTTGTTTGCCAATTTAAACTCCTCTATGGGTTCCCATTGTCTCTTAGTAGAGTTCTTTGGATCCTCTATGTAAAGATTCATATCGTCTGCAAAGAGGGATAATTTGACTTCTTCCTTCTCAATTTTTATTCCTTTGATTTCTTTTTCTTGTCTGATGGCTCTGGCTAAAACTTCCAGAACTATGTTATATAGCAGTGGTGAGTGTGGGCATCTCTGCCTGGTGCCAGATTTCAGTGGAAATGCTTCCAACTTTTCCCCATTCAATAGGATGCTGGCTGTGGGTTTTTTTCTAAATTGCTTTGATTATATTGAGGAATGTTCCTTCTATACCCAATTTGCTTAGAGTTTTCATCATGAAAGGGTGTTGAATTTTATCGAATGCTTTCTCTGCATCAATTGAGATAATCGTATGGTTTTTCTTTCGCAGTCTGTCAATGTGGTGAATCACATTGATTGATTTGCGAATGTTGAACCATCCCTGCATACCAGGGATGAATCCCACTTGGTCTAGTGTGGGGAGCAAACCGGACTAGACTGAGTTGCTGGAATTAGGACTTATTCTATGCATCTGCTCTCCCACAATATGGCGCTGGGAGAGAAGTAAACAGCTTCCGCACAGCTGCCTCCAGTTCAACTAATAAACTGTAGGACTTGCTCCTGATTGGAGGAGAGCAGCGTACTCGGCGTGTGGGCAGCCGAGTT